TCTGAATTTCAGTAGTCTTAAGAGGTCAGCAGCATGGAGCTCTGGTGGTCTACGCTATTTAAAGTCTATTTAGAGAGTTCAGAAAGGCAATTTTAATAACCCAAGGCAATGAGCTAGGCATCTGAGTGGAGGTGGGTGTGGGTGGGAACTTGAAGGACAAAACCAGAGCTATTCTATCCCTTAATCTTAACAATGCAATCCCATCCACAGCCATACATGTTCATAGGGATGTCTTTCCAGGTCAGCGTGTATAGGATTGCAGCTTAACCCATTTGTATAGAAATAAATTAACATTGATTCCAATGAACTTTATACTAAGTAATATATCTTATTAAAGACACCCTCTTCAAAATATCCTAAAGCTATCTAAGCATTTTCATTTTTTTTCTATAGCAAAGGTGGGAGATTAATACATTTTGATATGTATATGTGGCAAGGAAATTATAGGAAATAACGTTTGCAAAGGGTTGGTTTAAAGTACATATTCCTTGTCAACGTATATTCTTGGTGTGCTGTTTACTGGATTATTTATAAAGGTTACAATTTAAGCATTACATGTTAATTTGATTTTAATAGGATCATTAACACACTTGCATTATAATTAATGGATCATACATTTTAAACATGCTTGACTTTGGCTGGATTCTGCCCTTAGATTCCACCCCTCCCTGCCCCACCAAACTTCTCCTGAAGGTTCAGTATAAATAATAGTGATTTTAAATCTTAAAAACCTACACAAACCCTTAAAGCTAAAACCATAAAACAACAATCTTTATGGTTAAATCCTCCCATTAGCTTAATCATGGCCACAAAGTGGTGGTCTAGTATGAAGACCTTTACGGAACCACCAGAAGATGCTTCTCCATTAGGGTTTTTGGTTGCAAGATATTGCAAGGACCAAAGACTAATGGTTGCATCATTATTCTTCAATATATAATTCAATAGCAGTTATGGATAAAACAGGCAGCACCAAGCAGAATAAAATATGAAGCCATGATAATAATAATTAATAATAATAATTTTATTATTTATACCCTGCCCATTTGACTGGGTTTCCCCAGACACTCTGGGCGGCTCCCAACAGAAAATTAAAAGCACAATAAAATGCCAAACATTAAAAACTTCCCTAAACAGGGCTGCCTTCAGATGTCTTCTAAAAGTCAGATATAGTGGTACCTCGGGTTAAGTACTTAATTCGTTCCGGAGGTCCGTTCTTAACCTGAAACTGCTCTTAACCTGAAGCACCACTTTAGCTAATGGGGCTTCCTGCTGCTGCTGCACCGCCAGAGCACAATTTCTGTTCTCATCCTGAAGCAAAGTTCTTAACCCGAGGTAATTTTTCTGGGTTAGCGGAGTCTGTAACCTGAAGCGTATGTAACCCGAGGTACCACTGTAGTTGTTTATTTCCTTGACATCTGACAGGAGGGTGTTCCACAGGGTGGGTGCCACCACCGAGAAGGCCCTCTGCCTTGTTCCCTGTAACCTCACTTCTCACAGGGAGGGAACCGCCAGAAGGCCCTCGGTGCTGGACTTCAGTGTCTGGGTTGAATGATGGGGGTGGAGACGCTCCTTCAGGCATGCATTTCATCCCTCCGCAAAGGCCTGAGGAAAGAGGTATGTCTTTGCCTGCCATAAGAATGAAAACAGGGTAGGGGCATGACACATCTTGCGGGGAGATATAGTGTGGCCATCACAATGGAAGTCCTACCTCACCTCCCTGCACTTGCAAGCCTTGCTCAGCAAGTGTATCACCAATATGATTTCCTCTGCAGATCTTAATGTGTCCTTTCAGATGCTTAGCCTCCAAGTCTTTTAGGGCTTTGTCACCATAACCATCATAACTTCCTGTAATGGCTCAGTTGTACCAGATGGCTTGAGTTGTACCAGACCCAGAAGACCACTGACAACCATACAACTCTTAGAATTTGTGTTACATCCGAATAAACAGGAGCACCCATTTGCACCCTGGCTATGGCATTTTGCAAAAGTTGTAACCTTCAGACAGTTCTCAAGGGCCACCCTACACATCCCACATTACAATAGCCTTATCTGCAGGTTAACAGCCTGGGAAATCTGTGTAACAGACACACAATTATATTCTCGCAACTTGGCAAAGTTTCCAGTCTTTTCCTACATATCAGAAGCAGCCCTAAAATCAAGCATTGATATAAGCAAATAGCAGAAACACCAAGAAAAATAGTATTAGAAAATAGTTCAGACAGATTTTTGGAGGGAGCGATGTATCAACACCATTTAATATATCCTCTTTTTCAATCTCCAGCTCTTATTTTATGTACTTCATGACCACACTGGTATACGTAAGCTAGCAAAGCTAGCTAATACTTTTTCTTTCTCTCTGTGTGTAATAAATCAGGATAACCAAGTAAGTAAAATGTCAGTGTTTCCATTTCAGCTATTTTTGTTTCCCTTTCCTTTTTTCCCTTAAGCAGCTGGAGTGCTACATCTTTGGCCCAATGCAGATCCTTGTGTAGTGCAGGCTTTCCTGGTGATTTGATGAGTGTCTCAAGATCCAGCATACAACCTGTGGCACGTTCATCATTTAAACTCTGAATTATTTTTCAAAGCCTCTTAGCAGCAACAGCTGCTATGACAGCACAGTGTACCCAGCACACCTGACATCTACATTTGTCTATGCTTTGCTTCACCGCATGCTAACAGATTTCCCTCAAGCCTCCAACACACTGCTCTTTTTGGCCAGTGCTTGGCAGCCTCTCTGTTGCTGCTTTCATTGCTACTATTTATGGAGTTTGCTTAAATAACTTTCATAAAGGAAACTAGAAGAGACAAGTTGCTTTCCATATGATGCTAGAAGGACCAGGGCATTTTGCTGCTTGAGTTGGAGTCCAAATGGTGCCTGTCCTCCTTCTAAGGCCCAATGCCTAAAAAATCTTGCTGCTGCATGCAGACACAAATGCCTGCCTTCATCTATACTCCTGCACCAGAGCTGGTCCGGTTTCCATTGCTTCCTGTAATGGCTCAGTTGGTTAGAGCATGGTGCTGATAACACCAAGGTTGTAGGTTCGATCCCTGTATGGGACAGCTGCATATTCCTGCACTGCAGGGGGGGTGGATAGATGGGTCCCTTCCAACTCTAGAATTCTATGATTTTATGGAATCATAACATAAGCTTCAATGGTTCAGTTGTCCTCAATATCCTAGAACACTGATGGGGAACTGTGGCCCTCTAAGTGACCTTGAACTACAACTTCCATAATCCCTGACCCTTGACCATGATGGGGGGTGGCAAAGGGGGGCATTATGGGAAGTGTCTCTAGGATCTGATGGATCCTAAGTCTTTCCCAGTGCCCCATCACAACCCCAAACATGCCCCAGGTGAGCGGATATTACATGAGTGACTACTTTTGGATACAGTGGTACCTCAGGTTACAGACGCTTCAGGTTACAGACGCTTCAGGTTACAGACTCTGCTAACCCAGAAATAGTACCTCAGGTTAAGAACTTTGCTTCAGGATGAGAACAGAAATCATGCGGCGGTGGTGGCAGGAGGCCCCATTAGCTAAAGTGGTACCTCAGGTTAAGAACAGTTTCAGGTTAAGAATGGACCTCCAGAACAAATTAAGTTCTTAACTCGAGGTACCACTGTATAAGGTTTCTCTGTCAAGCATTGTATGCAAGTTTTGTTTGTTGAACTCAAACCATAAAGACCTGCCTCCTTATAGGGGAGAGTAGCAGATGTTACTGAGACTGCACTGATTTGATCTTTTGTGGCAGGGCAGTATTGGTGCCAAGACCCTCCCTGGTTATAAAGTTTCAAGAGGCCCCTGTCCCTCTCCCCTAGTGGAGCTTCACAGTGCAGGTAATTCCAACAATGATTTTCTGTCACCATCGCACAAACAGATAGGGGTCTGTGGAATCCTTAACATGTCCAAATCCTCATTTCTCCTAGAGAACTGGAAAGCTATGCCTGCTGTTCCCACAAAGCATTTAGCAGGACTGCTAACTTTAAAGCTGGATATTTGTAGTTTCCTTGATAGTTGTGTCAAAAGCCAGGCTGTGTGTCCTCTCCAGTTAACTGGCTTTCCAACACTGGCAGGGCACAGAGTCAAGACATCATAATAGTGGCTAAGCTAGCCACCTGCTGTGATAAGTCAGTACTGTAGGTAATGCACTCCTTGCCATGTTCCACTCGCTGTGCTCACAGAGAAAATCCTCCCCCCATCTTTTACAGCAGCTTTTAAAGAACTGTATGATCAGCCTTTAAGGTCCTTTGACATAACATTAAAAGCAACAGGGAGCCACCAGAATAGCATTTCCCCAACTGAGATATTGACGTGAACCAGAAAAGTCCTGCTGAGCTAAAGGAAAGCATTTTGGGGTCTTTGAATGGCATACAACAAGGTGCATCTAAATGCTAGGGTCTCAAGTAAGCAAGCCACATGCTCTTTGGCCAGTCCTGAATTACTTTCATAGACTTCAGTGAGACTCCTTTGTGAGAATTACTCCAAAATAAATGGTTTGGGGTTGCAGCTTAATAGCCTGTTCCACAGCTCAGTTATGCTGAAGCACTTGGTTTTAGGACTTGGCCCTACTGAAGTCAGTAAGACTAAATTGGTTTTAATACAAGCATTTTCCCACATTCTCCACCAGATGAAAAAATGTGCCATTGATCCATTGTATGGCTCCATTTGTGCAATAGCCTGCTGTCCTATATCTTTAACTTTCAAGTGTGGACAGTCTTGCCAATGCCACTAGCTTTGTCTGAAGTGGCTCCAAAAATTAATAATTTCTCTTCTACCCTGAATTAGAAACTACAGTGTCAGTATGTTTTCCTTAGGCACCTTTTGCAATCTGTCCAGATGTGCAGAAGTCCAGTTATTTGCTGAATTATGTCTAAAATTTGGGTTGTAATCATTTTGGGTTGGATTGTCAGTCTTGTGTTGCTATCATTCAAAAAGCTAGCCAGTGTGGTTGAAGACTCCTAAAACAGCTGTGAATTCTTTTTTGTAGTTGGACCTAACCACCTAGTAGGGAGCTTAATACATTAGTTTATTCCATTTCCCCTATTTATTTATTTGGATTTTGATTCCTTTGGGAATTCGTCTCCCCTTACAAGAAGAGATACTAAGAGAGAGAGAAACTGAGATTGGCTGGCCCAAAGTCAATGAACTTCATGGCTGAGTAGAGATTTGATTTACAATTTTCTAATTTGCAGGGCCAAAGCTCAGTAGTAGAGCACATGCTTTGCAAACAAAAGGTTCAGTCCCCAGCATCTCCAGGCAAACCTAGGAGACAATCTTGCCCAGCTCTGGGAAGTTGCTGCCAAACAGTATAGACCTGTTTTCTCCAATCCGTTGTCCTCCATAGCTAGATGGACTAATGATTTGACTCGGAATAAGTCAGCTTCCTATACTACCCACAAACTCTCCCTAGAGCAGCACCAAAGGGAAGAGACCTCTATGTTAATGAGTTGGGGTAGCCATTGTGATGCCTTCCATATGTTTTGGGTGACAACCCTCATCATTTCAGATCCTTGTATTATTTGCAGCTATTGAGAATTGTAGTCCACAGCATATGGAGGGTACTGTATCGGCTACCCTTGCTGATGGGCAGGTTTAAGTGAAGGCAGGATACATGCTCTTACTTTTCAACATTTGTCTAACTTTGGATAAGGCAGGGTGTGTGTGAAAGTAGTCCAGAGCCTTAATTCCGTTCATGGGTGTACTTGCAGTACGAGTACAGAGAACAGCAGCAAGCATGCAAAATCTTCTCTTGAAAGCTATTGGTATTTGGGTACACATTTTATGTCTCCTCTTTTTCTTATCTTGGCCAAACATTTCTACTGTCCATGAAATAGCAAGTGCATTGATTTAAATTTAAAATAACAAAGCACAAGATATCAGCCAATCTTGTTCAAAGTGTTTTAGTCTAAGTTTTAAAACATTTCTGGCTGGTACCTCTTTTTCTAGAAAAATAGTACTGTTAATATTTAAATACAGGTCAAGATTTTATACATATATATGTATAAAATCTTGAGTTATATACATACATCACCTAAACATCACCTAAAATAGAAGCCCTTTTCAGAGTTCATTTGTGGAGATTATGAACAGCAGGTGGAGAAGAGAGCATTGTAGTGGCAAGCTCTGCCTTCAGCCTATACATGTTCATTTGATGATACAGCTAGGTCAAAGGTGCACACATCTGTTCAAACATTGGGACATCTTTACTTGAATGGGATCCTGGGTCCATTTCCTATGCATGTTCATTCTTCTGCCCTCCATGTTGTACAAAAAGGACTTTGGTCATTAGGCAGAAAGCACGTCTTATGGAAAATTCTATGAAGGAAGGAGTGGGGGAAAGCCCAACTAGGTAGAAAGGCCATAAGCAGTTGATACTTACCACCGGCAAACCACAAACCAGCTTGATACTGCCAAACAACTGAACACAATTACACCTAAAATGATGGAGACTAGAGAACCCTTGGAAAGCCTTCCAGAATCTGAAACAATGAAATGTTAAATTATACTTCTTAACTAGGTGGGTAGGTAGTTTTATGCTTCCAATGAGACTTCAGAGGTCTGCTGTCATCACACAACTCATCTTATAATTCTCCTCTGCCACTGTTACCAATGGAAATACTATTTTGGATTTAGGTAGCAATGGCTGGTGGCAGGCTACAGAACTGTCCTATCTGCAGTGTATATTATCTCCAACTTATGCAGGCTGAGGGTCTCTCCTTCCTTCAATCTGCACCATGTAACAACACTAGTCTTTCTTTCTTTCTTTCTTTCTTTCTTTCTTTCTTTCTTTCTTTCTTTCTTTCTTTCGTATATAATATTTTCAAAGGCTATCTATATTTGACACCAGAATATTTTATGCCTTGAAAATTGAAAGACAACCCCCCACAAGCAATGGAATTCACTTGCAAAGTGTATCACTCCTCCTGCAAATGAGATTTTCTTTTCATATTTCATTAAATAATATAAAGATCAAATACAGAGTTATATGACTGAGACTGAGAGTGTTTGTTGCAGCTATTGTCTGTAAAAAATGTTCTATCGCTCCTCTCTCTATCCAGGGTCTCAGCCAAGCTATTGGTCTGCCTTGCTAGGGTGTGGGAGGAGAGGAGGAGAGTAGTGAATGGGTGAAAATACTTATTTTATTACATTTATATTTTGCCTTTCCTCCCAAAGAAGCCCAATATGTGGATTCAATTTGCAGGTCAAACCACAGGACATTAACAGCAGATCAATATCAAGTCTTGCTTGCTAACTTTTGACAACTAAAGACCAGTTGATATTGTCAATTTGACAATGATGTGGAAGCAATTTCCATCATAATCCAACATTTCACAGAAACAGACATTGGCTTGTACTTGTAACACTCCTGTTCACATGGCAAGGATCATTGCCTGAGGACTACGCACACTCTCTCTCTCTCTCTCTCTCTCTCTCTCTCTTAATTGTAGGCTTCACCTCTGTCATGTCCATTAAATTGAGCACTTCAGCTCCTTTTCTGCATAGAGAGAAAGAGTGTCTGAAAGAGTGTCTAATTACACTGCTTATCTTCCCAAAGTTTCTACAAAAGATAAAAAGCAGACTGTGACATACCAGGGACAGGTACTAGAAACCAAGGACTCTTGGAGCACATGTTTCCAGTGATCAGATCTTCTGCTACACTAGTATGGGGACCAGCCCTACCATTAGGCAAAGTGACAGGTGGGGAAGCTGGGCAGTGAAATGTTGGGAGCACACAGTTACACGTGGTCTGCCCTGCACCTCCTAAGTTAAACTGTTCTTTCAGGTGCGATGGATTGTGCTGTCCCATTGCCAATGTTGAAGTATAATCTAATTGCCAATCCAGTTGGCTTCTGTGCACGGAATGGGAAAGGGCACAATCCCTAGCCTTCATCTCATGTAGCAAAATATATTGGGCTGGCCCTGACCAGTGCATAGGAGCCACAGGAGGTGGGCAGGTCACATGGTCCAATAATGGTACTGCATATTATGGGTACAGAGTGGGACCAAACATCACAGAAGCAGGGTGTTTTTTTATGTTGGTGCACCTTGAGGAAATCATTCCTTCTAATACTGATCCAAGTCTGCCCATTCATGTGCTTATGTAGCCAGAACAGCAAAGGAATCAGCATACTTAGGGTGACCCAGAGGTATCTGCATGTGTGCAGAAAAATTGCAAGGAAAAGAACTAAGGGTGGAGGGGAAACTCTAAAACAGTGTTTCCCAACCTTGTGCCTCCAGCTGTTTTTGGAGTACAATTCCCATCATCCCTTGCCACTGGTCTTGCTAGTCAGGGATGATGGGAGTTGTAGTTCAAAAACAGCTGGAGGCACAAGGTTGGGAAACACTGCTCTAAAACATAAGAACTCAATGACAATGAATGTTGAAAGATTGCAGCTCCCTTCATAGGAACTTAAGATCAGCCTCCTGAATCAAGTCAACAGCCCATCTAGTCCAACACCCTGTTTTCAAAGTGGCTGACCAGATGCCTGCAAGCAGGACATGAGAAGAAGAAGAGCAGGAGGAGGAGGAGGAGTTTGGATTTGATATCCCGCTTTATCACAACCCGAAGGAGTCTCAAAGCGGCTAACATTCTCCTTTCCCTTCCTCCACCACAACAAACACTCTGTGAGGTGAGTGGGCTGAGAGACTTCAGAGAAGTGTGACTAGCCCAAGGTCACCCAGCAGCTGCATGTGGAGGAGCGGAGAAGTGAACCCGGTTCACCAGATTACAAGACTACTGCTCTTAACCACTACACCATACTGGCAACAGCACCCTGCCCACTTGTGATCACAGCAACTGGTATTAAAAGGCAAGATGTCATTGATAGCCTTGTCATCCATGAATGTGTCCAATCCTCTTTTAAAGCTATCCAAGCTGATGGCCATACATTATTCCCATGTACAGGGCAAGTGTGGGCTGCCCTCAAAGTCACACTTCTGTTCCTGTCCTCACCATTGCCAAAGTTGAGAATAATTTCTGCCTTGTTTAGGTGTGGAGATCCTTGGATAAACAACCCCTCAGCCTTAGGCTTGCCAGGAATACACTGCAACATTTTGATGCAGGGCCCTGCTTGTTGGCCTATCAAGATTCTTTCAAAGATCAGTGAAATGAACAGTCTATATTGTAAATGAAAATACCCATGCAAAAGTGCTGGTATTGTGTAAGCATATAACAATAATTAAAAGCAAAGCAAAATTCAATCAAGAGGTTTTTCCCTCCCTAGAAGAAGACGATTAAGGAGATTAATCCCCAAACAAGTGTTAGGAACAGAGTCATCTGAGGAACAGAACTGCAAGCTATCTGTTACAGGTTGAATGGTTATTAGGCACATTAGACAAATGAAGTAAGGAATAATTAAAACAGTGCCATCAAAAGGTTTTTAACAACTTAATGGAAAAAGCAACTATCATGCTTCAAACCAAGGACAAAAGAAACAAGACACCAAAAAGACCCAACGATTTCTACTTCACATTTTATGTACAGCAATAGGCTTATTTTTGACAGATTAGCAGAGTTGTTGCCTTCAGACAACAAACTTCACAGGTTTGCAGTAGCCTCCCTTCTACTCCAGCTTCCACACGTTCCATTTAATTTGGAACAGGAATCCAGGAACAGGTGTGTGAGGTAAAGCATTCCTCCTAGGGCAAACTGGGTTGAAACAAAACTATGATACAGTATGCCTTAGTCAAAAGTGTCAGTTTCAGAATGATTAAAAACAAAATCCAAGCATGGTCTCAATGTTAGATGTGGACCAAATAGTACTGGTTTCTAAACTCATTTGGCCATAAAGCTTGTTAGATAGCTTTGGAAAATCTCAGACCTACTTCACAAGGGTAGTTGTGATGGGAAGATACCAATGTCAGCTGCCCTGAGTTGCCTGGAGAAAGCAGCATTCAAGTGTAATAAATAAGAATAATTTAAGACATCCTAGCATGTCCCAAGTATGAATGGAGGTTATATGAGTGCACAGCATAAAATATTATTAGACCTCTTACAGATGTTAAGAGCACTTTAGTTAGAAGTCTGAAGTCGCTGGAATAATGTAATTCAAGCTAATCATTTTTCAATTGCTCTACAACACCACCGTACCAATCATTTGCAACTTGGGATGCTCTTCTGGGCTAACAAGCAAATCACAGGCAGCTCAAGGTTTGCTTTAGTTATCTCATCCAGACTGCCTTCGCAGTTCTGTATTTTTATTATGGCAACTGCCGGTGATTCCCCAAGTTTACTTGGAGAGAAAGGCTGGTGAACGTGACTTATCTGCTTATGATGCAGACCTGCATAGCTTGTGGCCCACCAGGATGAATGCAGTTCAGACAGACATGCTGAATGCTTGATCCCTGTGACCTTTCTTATAAATGCCTGCTTAGAATTCAAACCTAAGGCCTGCCATAACCCTGGAGCCAGAGCCCTTCACTTCAAGAAATGAGAATAAGGACTCTGAAGAGGGAGAGCATGTAGGGTCAGCCCCAGAAGCACTTCCAGCAGACATGCCTGGGGTGTGGTGTCAGTGCTCCTCTGGCCTGAGGATTCTGCATTGCCACCCTAAGTCTCCCTCCCTGACAATTATGTTTATTGATTTTCCAAATTATTACAAATCGTTCTCTCAAGAAAATAACTTTTGACACTCTTCCTTTGAAGAGAACCACAGGAGTGTTGCTCCACACACCAGCTCTCTGTGGGCCAGATTGCAGTCATCTTGTAGGCAGACAGTTCTTTTCAGAGACCTCTAATGGGCATGGCAGTTATGTTTATCAGACACCCAAACTTCTTTAACTTCAGTTTAAGGTAAAGGTAAAGGTACCCCTGCCCGTACGGGCCAGTCTTGACAGACTCTAGGGTTGTGCGCCCATCTCACTCAAGAGGCCGGGGGCCAGCGCTGTCCGGAGACACTTCCGGGTCACGTGGCCAGCGTGACAAGCTGCATCTGGCGAGCCAGAGCCGCACACGGAAACGCCGTTTACCTTCCCGCTAGCTAGTAAGCGGTCCCTATTTATCTACTTGCACCCGGGGGTGCTTTCGAACTGCTAGGTTGGCAGGCGCTGGGACTGAACGACGGGAGCGCACCCCACCGCGGGGATTCGAACCGCCGACCTTTCGATCGGCAAGCCCTAGGCGCTGAGGCTTTTACCCACAGCGCCACCCGCGTCCCTTCTAACTTCAGTTTAGAACCATAATAACTGCCTGGGCCTAAACCCTTTCCCTTTTAGTGTAAAAATAAATAAATAACTAGCTGTTTACTGATTGGAAAAGCTAAGACTGAGGCATTTAATCAAGCACAAAAGGATTTATGGCATGTAAAGGAACATAAATGCAGCCTGGCTGTGCGGGCCACCCGCTGGTTCAAAAATTGTTATTAACTATCCAAGGATTATACTGAATTTCATATGGTAGCACAAGTCCTGGAATTACCATACGTACATGACATAAAAGGGAATGAGGAAGTTTCTCTAATCCCACCAGTGAGAGTTATTGCTGCTGCTGTTGTTCAGAAGAAGAAAACGTCAGACATGTTTTCCCACACCTTTGTTCATAGGAGCCAACTCCTAGTGGCCGAGGTCCTTTCACCCCTCACAAAAAATATTTGAGGGCCCCCCAAGTTAATGGACATGGGTGTGGTGCCGTGTCATGTAATCAATTATGTGGGGTAGGGCTCACTTGGGCCCCTCCAATATTTTATTGGCACCCCTGCCTTTGTTACACTATCCAAAACTACAAAGACTGCCTCCTTGGACTCTCAACACCTGAGTTCTTACTTCTACTTAGCCAGGAAGCAGACTTAAGCCAGTCTCTCTCTCTCTCTCTCTCTCTCTCTCTCTCTCTCTCTCTCTCTCTCTCTCTCTCACACACACACACACACACACACACACACACCTACCACAGTGGTTGGTTTGTGTTCTTTACAGTGACCCTTACATTTAGAAGTCTGCTGTGATCATTCAGTGTTGATAAGTATGAAACACCGGAAGATAATTAGAATGGTTCTCACATAAATGGCTACAGCATGTGTGAATGACAGAGAATGACTTTGAGATTGCCTCATTGTTTTATGCTGCTAAGTTTTAACCAGCAAAGCAGTGCAGTCACCTCACCTTTGCATGTTTTCCCATCTTCTGCCAGTTCATAGGGATCTGTGCAAAGACACTGGAATGAGCCTTGGGTATTGACACATTGAGCAGAGGAGTGGCATGGGGGATTGGTTTTATTTTCACATTCGTTGATGTCTAAAGAGAAACACAAAAGTTAAAACAAAGTTATAAACTCAAAGTGTATTTCTAGAAGGCGGATCCTAAAATACGCTGCATTTGCACAAAAAGATAAGCTATAAATTCTGGCTTAATAAACCCAGATATGCATGGGCAGTCTGCACTAGCACCAAGAGAGTTCTGATGGAAATAAGAAACAGTATTAGAAACTGCTGTTGTTTGCTTATTTTTCCAGAACAGAAATCAAACCTCCTTTTTTGGGTGTTTTGCCTCTTTCTTAGGTAGGGGAAACTGAGTTCTTGAGTTTCTTACATTTCAAAGGGGCCCTCAAGCCTAAAAGGGTTTGGGAGCTGCTGTTGTAAAGCATTTGAAAAAAAACCAAGATTTGTTCAACCAGATACTTTTTTATTAATTTATTCATAATTTGCTTCACTGTGGCTGGATCTAGACACATGAAAGAAGTGTTTCAGTTTAAAGTGTTGTAAACTTAAACAGGGAAAACAGGTAGAGAAAAACGGGGCTCCATGTCACCACCTGATGGCACAATGTTATATTGCACATAGAACACATATAAATCACATTTTCTTCACCGTTCTGGCTGAGTCGTAGCTGAGCCCTGTGTGTGCAATACATTGTATAAACACACATGGAGCAAAGGAAGAGCTAACTGAACTAACAGCCATGCAAGCAGCCTAGGATTGTGTTTTTCTTTTGACTTAGTGCACTTCCCATTCTACTGCTTGTTTCCATAGCCTGCCGTACATAGTTTAACATATTAACCACCTATTGGAGAATAAACGACTGGTTCACACAAGTTTTTCCATTCAGTTTGTTGCCAGAATATTAATCTGCTAGGGGGCAAAATATTATTATAATTCATCTCTTTCTTTGCTTCGCAACTAGGTGGAAAAAATTCAGGGGACTCACAGGATGTGACTAAAAGAGAGAGTTGCAATTCCCTATCCCTATTTCATTTCAAGTGTACCATTATCTGAATCACTGTCTCTTCCAAGCAATGTTGATAAGCGGGCCTGAGTACCAACTGTAGCTCCTGCATGCAAATGAATTCACCTGTTGTAATGTCTTCCTCAGTATGAGCTTGTTAAATTTCTCTCTCTCTCCTGATGCTTTCCTCCCCCTTAATGAAGGTTGAATATGCATGTGCACAGACATGCTGGGAAAGGCTACGTACGGTGACTTGTAGAAATGTAATGCAAGTGAGAGCGAAGTCCTAAATTGATGCAATGCATTGAAATGAACTCATGCAGTTCTTCACTTTCAAGGCATTGGAAGGGGGATTGAGTGCCTGTGGTGCTTGATTTACTGGATCCAGTAGGAAACCATCTGTGCTAATAGTTTTTATAATGCGAAGGAGGGGATCATGATAGTAACTCAAAGAAGAAGGCAATCTTTCTTTCTGGGCCTTCCTAGTGTTAAAGGTGGGGGACAATTTATCCAGCTCACATTTTAAGGCATTCTATCTCCTTCACAGTTCCCAAACCAGACTTGATCATGTCCTTTCCTTGTCCATGTACAGAAGTCAATTGGATTGGCCCTTGGATTGCACTGGCAATAGGAAATAATTTCCTACCACATCTGAAAGAGCAGGTGCGGTGCAAGCCACAGGACACAGGCAGCGGTTGTTAGTATTTATATGGTATTTGCGTTATAAATGTATTTCACAAAGAATAAATGGTATTGGGGAAAGTTGGGAGCTGGCAGTTGGTTGGCTATTTTCTTGGTTGATTCTTTGATTAAGAACATAAGAGTGGTGACTTCAAGCAGATGCTGTCTGGAGGAGTTTGTGAGAAAAGGCAAGCTATGGATTAATAACTTATGTGCTGCTATGAAGAAGTTTTGAAAACAAAAGGGGCTAAACCCTCTCTTGGGCTCAAGGGAGAGAAATGAATTCCAAGTCTTGCGTAAGGCTTCTTTTTTAAAAATCACAAATAGCTAACAGCCGTGTCCTCCAACATTTCACTGCAACAGCTTCCCCACCCAAGGATCAGTCACCTGGGATGGCCTCCTCACTCTGCCTAATTGTGGGACAAGTGCCCCTGCCCCCAAAATACTGGTGTAGTAAAGTATCTGACCACCTGGAAGCATATACTCTTAAATTTGAGCACTACTTTTTTTGTTTTTGTTTCCACAACTGTGGCAATGAAGAGACAAATAATATTATAGTTGGAAAGAACCCCCACATCCCTGGGCATGCCTCAATGCATTTTGTTCTATATTTTTGGTGCAACCAAATAAAAATGCAGCAATATATGTTTGAAAAAGGTGCTAGCAGCAGAAAGCTTTTTCTTCCCGTAGGAGAGAACGAGCTGATCAGATGCAGTCTTATTTTATTTCTCAGGCAAAAAACTTGGATATGGATATGGATATCCTGGCTAAACCCTGTTAATGCCTGCTGCTAATTAAATCCTACAAGCTTTTTAGTTTTTCAAAACGCACACAGGCCCTCCATGGGCATTAAAGCATCCTATGATTCTGTGAATCCTATTGCTTCCTTTTGATCTGTATTCCTTTACACTGAGAGCAAGAAAGAGCATGGTCAGGCAAGCTGCCCAGTTTGGGTTATGTTTTAGTTGCATTCTGGGAGACTTGGCTCAGTCTGTCGCTTGACTTACAAATATATGGAGCAGAGTAATGGTTTGTGAAGATGATCACGTCTTCTTAAAATAAGGGACCAAGGATGATTTGTGAGATCAGAGTAAAGCGAAGAAAGAAGAGTACGCTTATATCTTTTCAAATCTCTTTGCAATTTGTTTCACATTTTTGTCTCAGTAAGCCCTGGAACGTGTGAATTCTCAGGCTCTACAGCTAGAAACTGTAAGTAAGCTGAGAAAGAAATTTATTGATGGCAGCATCAAGAGTGACCTCAGAAGATAAATGAATTTTCACAATAGACTGCAGGATCCAAGTTTATTCAGCCCTCTAAAATTATTCATGTTTAAACATTCCAATGTAGCAATGCCATTCTTGATAGAAGAAAGCAGACAAAACTTAAAAACCATAGGCACCTTGGCAGACCGGTGCTTTCAAATTCCATTTCCCCTGTATACAGGACAATTGTTCTTCTCCTAATAGCTCATATCCTTGGTGGCATGAGTAGGTAACAATGAGTTTCCCTGCCTCTGAACAATGGACAAAGTCACCATGTTCCACTCTTGTTGGGAAAGCACAATTCAACCCTAGAAGCAAAAACACAACATTTTAAAAAAGTAAACATAATACATTAGTGTACATTAGTCAAAACTGCATATACTGTTTTTGTTAAGATAAATTTGCACCAAAATGCTGATAAATTTTCATGAGAATTAAAACACAAATTGCTGCAAAATGTGGAGTACTAAATGTAAGTGTGGGAAAATGAGCAACTCGGAGAACTGAAATTACTAATCTTGAGTGAAGATATTCTACGACCACTCTTGATCAGCAATTATGGGAGCTGGACCCCATTGTAGGACGGGGAGAAATAAAAAAATTATTATCATTATAAGTCCAGCCACATTTGGAGAGCTGTAGCTTTTCTATCCCTGTTCAAAGGCCTCAGATGATGAATGCAGAGTCTGGGTGATTCTACCCTCTCATACCTTTTCATTCCTTTTGCCAAATGCAGGAATGAAACATGGCTTTGCCTGGTGGCAAGAAGATACTCAGATCATTTCATCCCAGCTGTCAAAACCTCCAGCACGTTCCTCATTTCTAAACATTCCAAATATTTGACAAAAGCAAGGATATTCATTTTTTGAATTACCTGGGTGAAACGTCTCCTGCCAAGCTCCTAAATGAATGCTGGGTATATTTTCACAAGGCTTAAAATCTTTAGGAAATTTCCCAAGTATGAAGGCATCAAGGGGCACTTCAGTGAGACCTGTGTTATCACAGATTAATCTGGATAAGGAATATTTTATGAGTTCTCGCCTTTGATCTTCAGTGAAAACATTGTCATTTTCCCACCAAAATCTATGTAGAAACAAGACCAAAAATATTGTAAGACAGGAGTATAGGCCACAGTGTATTATGTTCCACCACTTGGCCCCACCTAGATATCAAACTTCTGAAACAATTGGCAATCCTGTTTCAAAGTTTGTTTTTTTATCAAATCCAGTTTAATAAATATCCTTTTCAGGTATTCTAATCCCCTGTGTGATTAGAATTGCATGAGGGACAGCAAAGACAAGTGTGTTAGCTGCCATCCTCAAATTAGCTCATCAAATTTACAGATGACACTGAACTGGGAGAGGCAGATAATGCTGCAGAAGCAAGAATCAGGATTCAAGATGACCTTAACGGATTGGAGAACTGGGCCAAAGGAATTTCAATAGGGACAAATGTAAGGTTCTACACTTAGGCAGAAAAAACCAGCGGCATAAATATAAGATGGGGGACACCTGGCTTACTAGTAGTACACATGACAAGGATCTAAGAGTCTTAGTAGACCACAAGCTTATCATGAGTCAGCTGTGTGATGCAGCAGCATAAAAAGCTAATGCTGTTCTAGGATGCATCAACAGAAATATAATGTCCCAATCAAGGGAAGTAATAGTTCCTCTCTATTCTGACTTGGTCAGAGCACACCTGGAGTACTGTGTCCATTTCTGGGCACTACAATTTAAGAAGGATATTGACAAGCAGGAATGTGTGCAGAGGAGGGAGACCAAAATGATCAAGGGTCTGGAAACCAAGCCTTATGAGGAACAGTTGAGGGAATTGGGTATGTTTGGCCTGGAAAAGCAGAGACAGAGAGCAGCTATGGTAGGCATCTTCAAATATCTAAAGGGCTGTCACATGGAGAATGGAGCATGGTTGTTTTCTCCTGCTCCGGAGGGCAGGACTCAAACCAATGGCTTCAAGTTACAAGAAATGAGATTCCAAGAAAACATCAGGAAGAACTTTCTCACAGTTAGAGCTGTTCAACAGTGGAACAAACTCTCTTGGAAGATGGTAGACTCTCTTCCATTAGAGGTTTTTAACCAGAAGTTGGATCTGTTAGCAGCAAATGAAGTACACAAACAGCTCACTCCATCAGCAAATATGCTTTACTGAAGCATTTCAATAAGCATAGTGGTTACAAGTCCTCAGCCAAATCCCTGGCTGGGTGCATAGATTCAAAAAACAGTTACAGAGAGACGCCAGTGAACTGCATAGCTTTAGTGAGTGAGAGAGAGAGAGAGAGAGAGAGAGAAAGAAAGAAAGAAAGAAAGAAAGAAAGAAAGAAAGAAAGAAATACTCTCACACCTGCATGCAGCCATATAAGGAGGCCTCAAACAGCCTGGAACCTTCTGATCAACAATAAATACTAATGAGAAAGGATTACTGAGTCACTACAGGCTGCTGAGTCAGTATAGTATATCTATGAAACACTCTATGTCATTTTTAGGCCATGACAGGATCTCTAATGTATGAACTAGTTGAAGTTCTGGCATTGCAGGGATGCAGGGACCCTCGGAGGTCCCTTCCAGTTCTACAACTCTATGATTTTATGAGTCATCACCTTCCATGAGTTGGAGGCAGATGTTTCAAGCACAGTCCCTACTCTACTCATGTAGGTGCCCTGCATGATTTAGAGCCCAGGAAGAAGAGCAGGTTTGTAACATTGTGCTGGAAGCCTACATGAATGAAAATAAAACCCTCCCTCCTTCAGAAATTAACCTCTTTACTCATGGAGGTTGACAGGGACAGGAGGGTGGTGGTGGAAGGGACAGAGACAGCTCACTCTCCCTCATCATGTGATGGCGAATACAGTGGTACCTCAGGTTAAGTACTTATTTCGTTCCGGAGGTCCGTTCTTAACCTGAAGCACCACTTTAGCTAATGGGGCCTCCTGCTGCCACCGTGCTGCCACCGCACGATTTCTGTTCTCATCCTGAAGCAAAGTTCTTAACCCGAGGTACTATTTCTGGGTTAGCGGAGTCTGTAACCTGAAGCGTCTGTAACCTGAGGTACCACTGTAATGCCTAAGCAGGGCTAATGAAAGGAACAATACAAGTAAACTTACCGATCACCATCTCTCAATGCTTTCATTTGTTTTCCAATTATGCATGCAAACAGTGGACCTGTTCTGGCATCTGGAAGCATGCTTTCTACTATGCCCGCTAGCCACAAATCTATGTTGTCAGGGTTTTTGTACAGTCCCATGATTTTTTCCACTGTCTTCCTGTTCTTTATCGCTTTTGTCAGGTCGCTTTCCGTCCTTAGCCTCGGCAGGTCACAGAATTCTCGCCAGTCATTGTAGCCTACAAATACGGCATTCGTAGAACAAATCAAACAAGGTTTCCCAACAGGAGCCCTGATGGCTTCCTGTGACAGCTCTGCCCAATTCCTAAAGTGCTTGATGCAAGCCTACCTGCAGTGATACTCTTGAACCTGGAATCCCTTCACTCTGATCTGAAATATGCAAGGCATGATCCTTAGAGGTAAATGGGGACAGTGTGGAGGAATGGTTAGAGTTCTGGACTAGTACCTGAGAGGGAGTACCTGGGAGCCATGAAGCCTGTGGGGTGACTTTGGACCATAGCCATTGCCTCTCAGCCTAACCTACCTCAAAGGGTTGTTGTGAAGATAAGCTGGAGGGGGGGGGGAGAGAAGGGTTTATGACACCTTGAGCTCTTTGGGGAAACAAGAAATGTAATAGCAAATAATAAAATAAATTATTACTAGTGGTCTGCTGGCCTCCTGAAAAATGTATTTGTCACATTAATATTCCGCCCATCTTTTCAAGGTGCTTATCAAATGCAATCTTCATAACAACTTTGTAAGTAGACTAGGTTGAGAGACAATGATTTGTTGCAGGCGGGGGTGAGGGAAATCATGAAATGTGCTTATTATTTATTATTATTAATACCCCACCCATCTGACTGGGTTTCCGCAGCCACTCTGGACAGCTTACAGAACATACATTTAAACATCAGACATTTAAAATTTCCCATTACAGGGGCTGCCTTCAGGTGTATTCTAAAAGTCAGATAGTTGTTTATTTCCTTGACATCTGGTGGGAGGGTGTTCTACTACCAAGAAGGCCATTAATGGCTGAGTGGGGATTTGAGACAGGTCTCCCAAATCCAAGTCCAGTGCCCTATCCACACAGCCACACCAGACTGGTGTCTTGCTTCAAATTAAGCTTTGAGGCAGTAAGTGGATGCTTTATATAGGGTGCATTTTATGCTTGCACCAGTACAACATTATGATATACCAGCATTGCATACATGTGATTCTGGTACCATAGGAAAATATAATAAGACAAATGTAGATACAGGTTGTAATTCTTGAGTACTGGGATTTGTACTAAATCTGCTTTGGTGTTATTCAGTCCAATGCACAAACAGTCAATAGATCTGTTCTAGCTCTTTTCTGGAATGGGAGGCTGATGATGAGAAGCTCTCTGTGGACAATTTGTGCCAGTTTTAAGGACTAAATGTAGCCTGGCTTGAAGTGGGAGAACAGGCTGTGTTCTCCTAATTAAGATAACAACGTATACCATGTTAATAACATAACATACATAATTTGTAAGGAGGTGTGGAAGCTGCTGATAAAGACAAACTGAAGTTGTAGATCAAAATGTTGTTAAAGCAGGAAAGAGTGTGCGAAAGTAAAACTATTCTCAGCTGCTATTAAAATGAAATAAACAACCACAGTGCACTGATTGCTAATACAATAATATTACATTCCAGTAAATTCATTGGGTTGTACCCAATGGTGCCTTAGAGGACAGCACTTCCATTTCTAGAAGTCAGGCCACCTAATTGTGGCTGACAACCCCAACCATTTACTGTAGCCCTCTGCACCACATCCCATTCTGTTCCAGAGAGTCCCAGACCCCTCAAGAACAGCTGGTGGGGTGGTTAAGAAGGTAAGAGGGATCAACAAAATCGGGGCTTTGCTTTGCACACACAGAGGTCTCTTCTATTAATCTGGCTATCTCCCACTTTGGCTAGTGAGGCTGTTTCGAACAATCCACACCCACCTGCTCTACACCTGATATCATATATGATGGGTGGGGCTTGGCCAAAAGGGGCTTTGCAGGGACTTCAAATCAGCACTGCCTGCAAAGCCCTATTGCCCAGTGCTATAATATGCTATGGGACGCGGGTGGCGTTGTGGGTAAAACCTCAGCGCCTAGGACTTGCCGATCGCATGGTCGGTGGTTCGAATCCCCACGGCGGGGTGAGTTCCCGTCGTTCGGTCCCAGCTCCTGCCCACCTAGCAGTTCGAAAGCACCCTTAAGTGCAAGTAGATAAATAGGTACCGCTGTATAGCGGGAAGGTAAACGGCGTTTCCGTGTGCTGCTCTGGTGCCGGTTCGCCGGAGCAGCTTCATCACGCTGGCCACGTGACCCGGAAGTGTCTGCGGACAGCGCTGGCTCCTGGCCTCTAGAGTGAGATGAACGCACAACCCTAGACTCTGTCAAGACTGGCCCGTATGGGCAGGGGTACCTTTACCTTTACTATAATATGTTATAAGTCACCTAGAGGCTTTGGCATAGGCAACACACAAATCCTGCTGCTGCTACTACTACGACAAGATGTATTTTTAAAGAACGCAGTATACCTGGGAGTCCATGATCACGTCCCCGCTGTAAATCTAATGATGCTAAATCCAAAGAGCCATTATGAGACAACACCAATAGCTTCTTCGTTAGCTCCTCATTCAGCAGCTGATCCTGTACCTGAAGTTTTGCAGCAGTTGCCAAAGTTCCTCTTAGCAGGGGATCCAACCCACCTAAGAGTACAAAGAGAAGGTTACAAGGAGAAGGTAGGAGAGGGGAAGGGGTGGGCCTCTCCATCATCTCTGCTGAAAGACCAACAGCTTTTGGGTTCCTGCTGCCCTTGAAATATTTCCATCCCAGCTGGTTGTTACAAAACCTCTGTCAAAAATCTACCTCCCTCCCAGTCCATTTTTGTGTGTGTCACGTATTTTAGATTGCAGGCCTCAGAGCAAGGAGTGTCTTATCACTGACATTTGAAAGCGTCTGTCTTATCATGGGCATTCTGGAGTGAGAAACAGGATAAAAATGCTTTAAATAAATGTATGCAGCCACAAATCCAGCACTGTCTTAAGATAAGTGCAAAAGTCCTTGATTTTCATCCAGCCGGCTAAGGACCCTTCACTAACTATGAATTGTGCTTTAACAGCTTTGCATGCATTTTTCTTCTAGTTTTTTTTTTTAAAAAAACCAAGCAACAATGATTTAAAGATATTAACATCTTCCACTGAGTATTGTTAGGCAAATAATATCAGTATTATTTTCATTATTTTTCTTTATCAAATGTATAAATAAGTTAACTATAATTCTCTAGAGAAAGACAAGTACTATTTATAACATGTTTTTTAAACTTGAATTTTTTAGAAATATTTTTTATTAAAGTTTTCAGGTTTTCATTTCCACATTAGCATATTTTATTATACCCATACATTCAACGACTTCCCTCCTTCCCCTCCAAGGTTCTTTTAATTTACCCATAATTCCTGCATATTCTTGTATATTCATCTAAATCGGTTTTCTCCATCCTCATTTTACACCCTTTTAGATATGTAATACTGTTGAAGTTACCTTAATACTGCCAGCGTTTTCAACTGTGTACAATTTTTAATGGGTTGCAGCCAATTAAGCCCTACTCAGAGTAGACCCTCTGGACTGAATGGACAAGTTAGATGTGATTAATTTAAGTCCAGCAGCAGGTTTACTTTGATCTTGGTTTGATTGGATGCAATCATATGGAAACTCTTTATTAAGATAAGGTTGCAAACTTATCATATTTATCTGGGAGTAAGACTCCTTTAATAGTGCTTATTTCTGACCAAATATACATAGTATTGAGCTGTAAAGCTCATAATAACAACAGGGCCCATTGCAAGAAATGAAGTTACAGGGAACCAGGCAGAGGGCCTTCTTGGTAGTTGTGCCCACCCTGTGGAACACCCTCCCATCAGATTTCAGAGTCAAACAATTTTATGACCTTTCATAGACATCTGAAGGCAACCCTGTTTCGAGAAGCTTTTAATGTTTGATGTTTTGCTCCTTTATATTTTGTTGGAAGCTGCCCAAAGAGGCTGGGGAAACCGAGTCAGATGTGTGGGGTACAATAATTATAATTATTAAAACAGTAAGGCTACACAAACCTTTCACTCTTCTTCCTTGTCCCTCCAAGCTATAATTCATTCCACAAGCCTAGTTTATCCACACAGATAAAATAACTGAATATTTCAATTTATTTTGTTTTTTTTATATGACTTTGGAAATGCTAGTCAAGAAGAGAAAAACACCTCAGCACTAGCTCTTTATGGTCTGTTTAACAGTCTGAACAATGATGAAATCAAGACAAAATCTCCCTGTTTTACAAGTTGCTAATAACTTTGCAGTAATGCAAGAAGATGTGATAGTATTAAACAAAGTACCTTCTTTAATAAGTCTCCACGGGGTAAAAAAAGCTTTGTGCAATTGAAGATTAGGAAGATTTGGATCATTCTGATACTGAACGTCGAGTCTCTTTATGACTGGATGAATTGCAGCATGGCCAAAGCGAAAAGCTGCCGTAGTAAATACATTGGATACTGAAGGATTAATTGTGGGAACATAGCCTTTATAAACACCAATGTATTGGTTAAAAGCATCTGGTCCAATGATTTTGGGTATGTAGTCTCTTAGGGTAATAATCTGGGGTGGAAATAAGGGAAACCAGAATATTTCAGTTAATAACAATGCTGTAGGAAGCCTATTGTGTGTTTGAACAAGACAAACCCTTGCCAGATGTTGGTCTGGACTCCTTAGATATAGGGACATTCACTAGCAACAAGAGCCAAAGTGATATTTATATAAGCTAGGTGCCAAATGACTCCTTAAACCAGGGTTATAATCGCCAAAATGGAATGCCTAGATGCCATTTTTGGACCAGACAGCTCAAAAGTTGTATTTTTCAATACGACTTTTTGGTTCCTGAAATTCATTTTGATTGTGCAGATAAAACATAACGGGTAGAATTCTATAGGATGTGTGGCTGGTGTGTGAAAACAGTCAAGATCTAAGGATTCCCAGGCATGCACCTCCAGATGGTAGAGACGTCAGACGTCATCCTGGCACCTGGGCATCTTCACTTGTTCACAAGTGGCCGATAGCCAGGTGCAAAATCCGCCGGGTGAGTTTTGAAGGTTGATTGGGGATTGGTGGGGCATTAATATCAGTGCCCCTTCCCTACCATGGATAATTGTGGGAGTGTTTTCCCCAGATCAAGATTAGTTCAGCTGGAACTTTTCTAACAGGACGGGGAAATTAAGCCACAGCCAACCTGGACCGGAGGTGTTCAGTAGTCTCAAAATGTTAAGGGTGTTTCACAGCATTCTTTACTGGCAATGAAATAATATTGTCTCCATGCTGATGGATCATCCAACAAAGATATAACTGTCTTTCTATTTTGTTACAGCCTGCTAGCTAACATTAAACAGAAAGTGTTCTATTATTGACCTAATGGTCCATCAGACTAACCTTTTGCAATGACCTTTATATAACGATATCCGAATCCACCTCTCTGTGTAGGCTAAGAGCTTAAGGCTGCAATCCCACATACACTGACCTGAGAGTAAGCTCCCTTGAACTTAATGGGACTTGCTTTTGGATGCACCTGTTTAGGATTCTGCTGCAAGGGAACTGTTTGTGCCATTTGAAAGTGACAAGGGAAAGACACAAACTTTTGAAGCTGCCTAACAAAGCCCTTAGGGATGCGGGTGGCACTGTGGTTTAAACCACAGAGCCTAGGACTTGCTGATTAGAAGGTTGGCGGTTCGAATCCCTGTGACAGGGTGAGCTCCTGTTGCTCGGTCCCAGCTCTTGCCATCCTAGCAGTTTGAAAGCACATCAAAGTGCAAGTAGATAAATAGGTACCACTCCGGCGGGAAGGTAAACAGTGTTTCCGTGTGCTGCTCTGGTTCGCCAGAAGTGGCTTAGTCATGCTGGCCACATGACCCGGAAGCTGTATGCCGGCTCCCTCGGCCAATAAAGTGAGATGAGTGCCGCAACCCCAGAGTCGGCCACGACTGGAGCTAATTGTCAGGGGTCCCTTTACCTTTAACAAAGCCCTTGGGGAAACGTGTCTGTTCCTCTGGGTGGCTGGTGCTACTGTGGGAGGAAAAGTGACTACTAATGAGCCTTCTTGCTCCCCAGGATCAGTGCTAGAGTAGCACAAACTGAGAAAATTGTCTCAGGTGGCAGGTATTAGCATGGCAGTGAATTGGGACCCACATCCTCAGATGCCATATTTGTTTGTCTCGCTATCGCCTGGCTGTCATTATTGCTGCTAGCACTGGCCACCTACCTGCAGCTTCCAAATTATCTCTGCTTTGGTCTGGGGAAGGGGCAAGGGGGGGTCCTTCCTCAGAATGAGGCATTCTGGGTGAGGTGACCAGAACAGCAGCTGCTGTGATTTGCTGCTGCAGCAGCACAAGTACTCTCCCGGCCATGACAAAAGGGGAGGGGCAGGCTGAGAATCTGCTAGCGCTTTTAATGCAGCAGCAAAACATTGGGGGGGGGAGTAAATACGGGGGAAAGGGGGAAGAGCAATGGGGTGGCAGCAACAAGAGATAAAGGAGGAGGAGTTAGCAATGGCAGGGGGAAACAGCAGTGGGGATGGGTGAGTGTAGGGTGCCCTAATTCTTGTGCCAGTCCTGTTGCTCCCTGCATGCTCATTCTGTATATAGTTGAATATAAAGAGATACAGTGGTACCTCGGGTTACATGCACTTCAGGTTACAGGTGCTTCAGGTTACAGACTCTGCTAACCCAGAAATATTACCTTGGGTTAAGAACTTTGCTTCAGGATGAGAACAGAAATCTTGCTCCGGCGGCATGGCGGCAGTGGGAGGCCCCATTAGCTAAAGTGGAGTCTCAGGTTAAGAATAGTTTCAGGTTAAGAACAGACCTCCAGAATGAATTAAGTTCTTAACCCGAGGTACCAATGTATTATGAAAATATGAAAACTCTGTACAGGACAGTGGTACCTCGGGTTAAGAAATTAATTCGTTCTGGAGGGCCATTCTTAGGCTTAGGAAAACAGGTCCCCAAAATGTGACTGGCTGTTTCTCTCCCCCAACGCACCCCATTTCCCGCTCTATAGCTTAATTGCTGTACAGGCCAAGGAATACTCATGCTTTAAACAGATCTATTTGTTCATAGGAATCTTCTTTCCTGTATGTAACACTGTCCATGTCTTAAAGACTATTTGGTCACAAAATCCATTTGATAGGTCTAAATGGGTCTATCAGCAGACAATTCATAGTTATCTTCAAAACAACAACAACCCCAAAACCATACAGTTTGTTATAGAAATGCTGATAAGTGTTCCCCTGGCAAATTCTTTTGATAATGTAATAGGCTTATTGAAGCATATAGAAAAAAAGCTTATAAGAAACACTGATCAAAAGAGAGGAAATGATACATTGCGATGGAAAATATGAAAACTGCATTGCAGATTTAAGATTACATTGGACTTAATAAAGCATAATGGGATGAATATGAAGTATAGAGAACTAATAAAATACATGATAGGTTTGATATAATATGCAATAAACTGAATGGACAAATGCACCCAGTGCTTTGATACAGTGCATATTGAAAAATTCAGGCAGGGATAACGTAGTTTCATCAGATAATGTGTTTCACTCTTTTTGGGGGGTAGAGGGGGGTTATTTTATTTTTTAACACTGAAAAGGCAAGTTCAGACAAACGACAAAAGATGTGGCTCTTTCCAAGCCCTCGCTGTTCGCTCCAGAGCAGTTAAGCTTGGCTTCCTTGCCTCATTACTTTAGCTTTCAGTTATGCTCTTTGCAAATTAACAGTGCTCAGACGGCAAAGCCTGAAATATGATAGATTATTAAGAGGCTGCCCATTGGATTTTAAGGTTCGGCTTTCCTACACAATGCCTGCCAGATCATTAGTCCTGCTGGAAGGTAGGAGCATAGATGTCACAGAGACTCATTTGCGGAGGGCAATCCAACACATTGTTGCTGGTCCTGGTGCTATGATGCATTCTGTTTCCCAGCAATATTTCGAATGCATTGAAATTTCCCCAGCAGTCCTATGGTTTTTGACAGCCAATGTGCACCCACAGTTGGGTACCTTCATTTCTTATCTATCAGATGCCACCTGAAGCAGCTCACTTCACCCTGATCCATGGCAGGTTCAGCCCTGCATGATCTCATGTTGTCCTAGTGCTTATGGAAATGCTAATAGCCTACTACATTCGGTATAAATTCATTCCAAATGTTATTGTATTTATCCATACAGAGCCTGCGCCTGTAAGCAGCCTGTTCATAAATTGCCAATGATGTCAGTCCATTGATTGAAGGGTATCATATCTTTATTTTTCCAATTCCTCTTGTCCACCATTAGGGCACGGAATATATCCACTTCCGTTGCCCCTTTGATAATTTCCATACTGCAGGTATATGGTTCAATAAAATATTATCCGCCTAAAGATTTAACTTTTTTTGCACAGTCATAGTTAACAAGTTTTGGGAGAAAGTGCTGGACTGTGTTAAGTAAAGAAAAAGGTACAAAGATGTGTTTCAGAGAGGCATTGTCCTTGCCACATCCCCAACACTGAGCTGTCTTAGCTAACCCTTTTTTTATACAACCGTAAAGGGGTCCAATAAACTCTAAATATTATTTACTGTTGTATTGGTCTTAAATCAAATGACAGCTTAGGTATTGAAGCCAATACAGTGGTACAGTGGTGCCCTGCAAGACGAATGCCTCGCAAGACGAAAAACTTGCTAGACGAAAGGGTTTTTCGGTTTTGCGTTGCTTCGCTAGACGAATTTCCCTATGGGCTTGCTTCGCAAGACGAAAACGTCTTCCGCTTTTTCCTTAAAGCCGCTTGAAGAGGCGCAGTTGCGACGGACCGTGCTTCGCAAGACGAAAAGACTCGCAGAACGAATTATTTTCGTCTTGCGAGGCACCACTGTACCTCGGGTTACATACGCTTCAGGTTACATACGCTTCAGGTTACAGACTCTGCTAACCCAGAAATAGTACCTTGGGTTCAGAACTTTGCTTCAGGATGAGAAGAGAAATTGTGCTCCGGCAGCGTGGTGCCAGTGGGAGGCCCCATTAGCTAAAGTGGTGCTTCAAGTTAAGAACAGTTTCAGGTTAAGAACGGACCTCCGGAACGTATTAAGTACTTAACCTGAGGTACCACTGTACAGTTTCCCACTGTCTGGGTAATAACGAACTTGTCAAAAACTTAACAGGGCGGGGGGAAATGTTTGCCATTATTTTAAGTTGCTGGTGCAGGCTACAATCCACCCCCCACCTTTGCTGGGCTGTAGGTGGTTTGGGTTGAGTCAAGGAGCCCCTCCACTTGCTTTCAGCAGCTCAGCCAGCATACCCCTGCCCACCACCAATGGATTGATGCCTGCATCACTCTTCTGCCCGCAGCATGTACAAGTGGAAGGAAGGCTTACACTGGTATCCGCATTGGTAAAACCAAGCAGACAGTCCTGTAATGAGGCATTCCAAGGTGGGGCAGGGCTGAGCCAGCCTGGGATCCACTAGATCCTGAGCAGCTCACACAGTTGGCGCTGGCTGGCATCCGGCCTGATCCGAGCCCGGCTGCAGCGTAATCTGAGGCTGGTACAGGGATCAGGACCCATCTTCCTGCCCCCGCCC